TAACAGACTTACAAAATATGTGAAGCAAAAACTGATAAAACTGAAAGGAGAATTAGATATATCCACAATTATAGTTGGGGACTTCAACACTCCTCTCTCAACAACTGATAAAACAATTGGATAGAAAATGACCAAAGATATAAGGGAACCCAATAACACCATCAAGCAACAGAAGCTAATTGACACTTCCAGACCACCCCACCCAACACTAGCAGCATTCTCTTTAAGCAGTCATAGAGCATACACCAAGACAGATCATATCCATAACACAAACTCAGGAAATTTGAAAGAATTAAATCATACAGAGTGTATCCTCTGATCATAATGAAATTAAAGTAGAAATCAGTAACAGAAAGCTAATAGGAAAATAAACCAACAATTGGGAACTAAATTCCCTATAACATAATCCATAGCTCAAAGAGGAAGCCTAAGTGGAAATCAAAACATACACTAAACTGAATGAAAATAAAAATACAACATATCAAAATTTGTGGATGCAGCAAAAACAGTGCTAAGAGGGAAATTTATAGCACTAAAAGCTTACATTAAAAAGCAGAAAAAGTCTCAAATTAAAATCTAGGATTATACGTCAAGAGCATAGAAAAGGAAGGGGAAAATAAACCCAAAGAAAGCAGAGAGAGGGAATAATAAAGAGAAGAGCAGAAATCAGTGAAATTGGAAACAGAAAAACAAAATCAGTAAAAGATGGTTCTTTGAAAAAAACTCAACAAAATGCACAAATCTCAAGTAAGACTGACAAATTAAAAAGGAGAAAAAAACACAAATTAATATTAGGAAAGAAAGGGGGGATATTACTAACAGATCCCACAGATATCAAAGGAATAATGAGTAAATACCACATAAATTAGACAACTTAGATAAAATGACCACATTCCTCAAAAAGTACATATTACCCCAACTCACACAATTTGAAACAGATCATTTAAATAGTACTTTAACTATTGAGGAAACTGAATTTATAATTTTTTAAATTACAGAAAAAGAAAACTCCAGGGCCAGCCAGATTGTTTTACCACACTATTCTAACAAATTAAATTTAAAGAAGAATTAACACCAATTATACATACACTTTCTCCAAAAATAGAAGAGGCAGGAACACTTTCCAATTTATTTTAGGAAGCCAATATTATCCTGCTATCAAAACCAACCAAAGATTGCACAAGAGAGAGAGAGACAGGGAGACAGAGACAAACAGAGAAAGAGACAGAAACTACAGACTGATATCCTTCATGAATATAAATCAACAAAATATTAGCAAATGGCTTTCAGCACTATATCAATACAGAAGTCTACACCATAAGCTAGCAATGTTTATCCCAGGGATGAAAGACTGATTTAACACTCAAAAATAAATCAATATATTCATAACCTACCATATTAACAAGCTAAAGGGAAAAAAATCATATGATTCATCAGTTGATGCAGAAAAATTACTTAACAAAATTCAACATCCATTCATGATACAAATTCTCAGAAAACTGGGAATGCAGGGAAACTCCTCAAACTGACTTTTTAAAAACTTGAAGAAAAAAAAAACCCTGCAACTTACATTATACTTAATAATGAAAGACTGAATGCTGGCCTGGCGTGGTGGCTCACGCCTGTAATCCCAGCACTTTCGGAGGCCGAGCTGGGCAGATCACCTGAGGTCAGGAGTTCCAGACCGCCCTGGCAAACGTGGCAAAACCCCATCTCTACTAAAAATACACAAATTAGCTGGGCATGGTGGCACACATCTGTAGTTCCAGCTACTCGGGAGGGGGAGGTTGCAGTGAGCTGAGATTGCACCACTGCACTCCAGCCTGGGTGAGAGAGCAAGACTTGGTCTCAAAAAAAAAAAAAAATTAAATGCTTTCTCCCTAAGCTCAGGAACAAAACAAGGATGTCCCACCTCACTGCAAAACAGTACTGGAACTTCTAGCCAGCACAATAAGGCAAGAAAAGGAAACGCAACGAAGAACTAAAACTGTTGCTATTTGCAGATGACATATTCCCCTACGTTGCATTAAAAAAAAAAAAAAAAAAATCCAAGGAAACTTCAAAAACAAACAAAAAACTCCAAAACAACAAAACTCCTAGAGCCAGTAAGTTTAGCAAGGTCACAGAAAGATCAACATACAAAAATCAACTGTGCTTTTATACACTGGGTCCTACTTGAGTATGGAGAGTGGGAGGAGGGTGAGGATTGAAAAACTACCTATCAGATACTATGCTTATTACCTGGTGATGAAATAATCTATATGCCAACCCCCCATGATGCACAATTTACCAATATAACAAACCAGCACATGTACCCCAAACCTAAAAGTAAAAAAAACAAATAATTTAAAAATCAGATTTTATTAAAAACTTTTTCTCCAAAAGATCCTTTTTTTTTTTTTTTTTTTGAGACGGAGTTTTGCTCTTGTTGCCCATGCTGGAGTGCAATGGCGCGATCTCGGCTCACTGCAGCCTCTGCCTCCCAGATTCAAGCAACTCTCCTGCCTCAGCCTCCCGAGTAGTGGGATTACAGGCATGTGCCATCAGGCCTGGCTAATTTTTGTATTTTCAGTAGAGAGGGGGTTTCTCCGCATTGGCCAGGCTGGTCTCAAACTCCCAACCTCAGATGATCCACCCACCTCAGCCTCCCGAAGCGCTGGGATTACAAGCATAAGCCACCGGACCCGGCCCAAAAGATCCTTTTAAGAAGATGAAAAGACAAGCAAAATACTGGGACAAACTCTTGCAAACCACATCTCTCAGGGGTCCTCAAGCCCTGGGCCTCAAACTGGTACAGGTCAATGGCCTGTTAGGAAGCTGGCAGCACAGCAGGAGGTAAGCAGCTCCTGGGCCAGCATCAGCACCTGAGCACCGTCTCCTGTCAAATCAGCCAGGGTATCAGATTCTCACAGGAGCGGGAACCCTATTGTGAACTTCAAATGCGAGGGATCTAGGTTGCACGCTTCTTATGAGAATCTAACTAATGTCTGATGATCTTAAGTGAAACAGTTCCATCTGGAAACCATTTCCCCCACCACCCCCACTTCCGTGGAAAAAACTGTCTTCCATGAAACTTGTCCCTGGTGCCAAAAAGATTGAGGACTGCTGATGTATTTGATAAAGGACTCATGTCTATAATTTAAAGAACCCTCAAAACTGAACAATAACAAAACAATGAAGAAAACAAGAAAACGATACTAAGAGGGATTTCACTGACGAGGATATGTGTATGGCAAATAAAGACATGAGAAAATGGTCGACATCACTAGTCATTAGGAAAATGCAAATTAAGACCACAGTGAGGTATCATTGCACACCTAATCCGAACAGTAAAATTTAAAAAATAGTGACAACACAAAACGCTGGCAAGGATGTGGAAAAACTCGATCTCTCATATATGGCTGCTGGGAATGTAAAATAGTACATTTCTGGAAAAGGGTTAGCAGTTTCTTTAAAAACTAAACACAGGCCGGGCGCGGTGGCTCAAGCCTGTAATCCCAGCACTTTGGGAGGCCGAGGCGGGTGGATCACGAGGTCAGGAGATCGAGACCATCCTCTACTAAAAATACAAAAAACTAGCCGGGCGTGGTGGCGGGCGCCTGTAGTCCCAGCTACTCTGGAGGCTGAGGCAGGAGAATGGCGTGAACCTGGGAGGCGGAGCTTGCAGTGAGCCGAGATCGCGCCACTGCCCTCCAGCCTGAGTGACACAGCGAGACTCCGTCTCAAAAAAAAAAAAAAAAAAAACAAAAACCTAAACACATACTTACCATATGACCCAGAAATCACACTCCTGGACATTTATCCCATAAAAATGAAAATTGAGGTCCACATAAAAACCTGCACGCAATTTTTCAAAGCAGCTTTATAATAGCCCCCCCAAAAAAGGAGGAGGAGGAGGAGAAGGAGAAGGGGTGGGGGGGGGAAGAGGAGGAGGAGGAGGAGGAAAGAACCAAAATGTCATATGATAGGTGAATGCTGAATGACTAAACAAACTGTGTTACACCCATAGTGTGGAATATCACTCAGAAATAGAAAGGAACAAACTAGAAATACCTGCAATAACTTGAATAAATCTCAAGGGCATTCTGCTGAGTTGGGTGGGGGAGGGAGCTAATCTTAGAAGGTCACAGGATGTGAGGACCAATTTATAAAACATTCCCCAAACGACAAAATCATAGAAATGGAGAACAGACTGATGGTTGCCAAGGATTAGGGATGGTGTGGGGAAAAGAAAGGGATGACCATAAAGGGGCTATATGAGAGAGATTTTTGTGGTGTTGAAATAGTTTGTATTTTGATTGTGGTAATGATTACAACCGCCTTCAGGGATAAGGTGACACACAATCACAGGCACATTTTATCTCAGTGTCAATGTCCTGGCTTTATCATTGTGCTCTATGTGGAATGTAACCAACAGTGGAGGCAACGTGGAGGCTCTATGAGACCTCTCTGTACTATCTTTGCAACTTCCTGTAAGTCTATATTCAAAATAAAAAGTTAAAAAAATAGGTGCCCAGGCCACATCCTAAACCTTGTAAATTAAAATATCTAGGGGAGGAACCTAGCCAACTGCATTTTTTTTTAAATGCACGAGGTAATTTTAAAGTGTAGCTAGAGTTAGGCACCACCGGCAGCTCGTATTATTACCGAAACTACAAGCAGGTGGAACACCTGTTAAGTCTGGTGGAAGATAAGGAAGGAGAAAACTAAATATACAAATCTATGTTAGGTCTCTTGAAGGTTTTATTCTCCTAATGTTAAAACCTAGTATTTAAGTGAATCCAAATAATGTGGATGGGATAATCAGTCATCCATTATGATACAGACCATTTTACACAAAAAAGGCCAGTCCCAATAGACTATTCTTTAGATTCTTAAGCATTTGGTATCGATGTTATAATTTTAAAATGCTAAAGAGCAATTACAATCACACTTAAACATGCAGCAATTTTAGAAAATCAATGTTTCACCGAGTTTCTCATTTTAGATGAGTAACAAAATGAGTTCAAATTTTTTATTTTATTGTGTTGACTAACACCAGCAGTGATCCTTGGGAAACATGTGAAAAGCAAGTATTCGTATTTTGACTACATATTCTAATGTATTCGTTATTTATATTAATGATCACCAACTATAATCTAGTAGACTCTCTGGATTTAACTGTTTAGGAAGTGAGTTGTAGACATATAGAAGCCAAGGATTATTTTGAGCCAATAAACAGTGACTTGACCCACCAAATGCTTTGTGTGGTTATTAATCATTCTATATCACCATCATCATAAGACACTGTGCATCTACTCAGCTGGGCCAGGGGATTAAAGGTTTAGGAAAGAGTCCTTCCTTGCCTTTAAAGGGTTTAAAGTCTGTTTGAGGATGGGTCCAAATACATAAAATGATGAATAACAAAGCGAAGAACATGCTGAAATCTGGACTGACAGCAGAAAAGGGCCAAAGGGCTTGTTTTTACTGGAAGTATTTTTGCATAAGCTGGGAAGGGAGTTTGCATCTTCTCGACTCATAGATCAGACAGATGAGCAGCTTCAACAAAGCAGATTTATGCTATCCACCAGGAGGGTTTTGCTTAGTTGTCAGTTGTGGACTTTCTTCCAAAAGTGCAGCTGTTTTGAAGCAAGAAATCTGGCACCAAAAAATAAATAAAGTGAAAATTTAGAATAAGAATTACCTCCCACGCAACTCTAATCAACAGCTATGTCTCCCTTTCCTCCACCTTCAAGATTTAAAGGTCTGGGTGGAAACTGGAGGTGGGGGGTGGGAATGAGTTATTTGCCTTGCCCCAGACCACCAATCTCCTCTGTGTGTGTCTCTCTCCAAACACGACCCTCACACACTCTCTATCCTAATTTACACTGCTACGACTTCCCAGATTTGTTTTACGTTCTGGAAGGATTTATCCATTTGGAAGCGTTCTTAAAAGTTACTGTCGCGAAGTTCGATTTGAAAGCAAAAGAAGGAATGACCGCGTTTGAACAGAGGAAGAGTGCAAATTCTTGTAAAGAAAGTTGTCTTGTGATTATGGGAGGTAATCAACAGCTACTCAGACATTCTTCTCTTAAACAGCTGAGGTTTATCATTTTCGCTATTATGACAATGAATTTTTTCCTCCTTTCCTTTATGCCTTTTGGCAGGAGCCTCGACTCTGCAGGTGTTAGCGCTGCAAGGGCCGAACCCAACCGCCAGAATGTCTGCCGAGCCTAGCATGGGATGCTGCCCAGCAAAACAGCGCCCAGGGAGAGGGCGACTGAGGAAGAGAGCCTGTAAGCGCGCTTCAGAAGGGACTGGGACCAGAGCCCTGGAAAACTAGAGCGAGTGGATTCCCTGGCAGGGGGAACCCGCGGGAGCCTGGAAAAAAAACGAGAGGGAGAGAAAGAAACTCACCCCCGCGCTGTGAAGCCCCGCGCAGGCAAGCGAGTGAGCGCGCAGGCTGGCTGGGCTGCTCCAGCTGGAAGTCATTCTGCGGGCTGGCGTCTGCGTTGTCAGGGCGACCGCCCGGCCGGCGCCAGCGAAGGGGGGGAGGCGGGCTCCGTGAATGGGTGACGTCACGCGGCCGGCGCCAGGCAGTCTGGGCGGCCGAGCCAATGAATCAGCTGTCCGGGGGAGGGAGCGCGGCGCGCGGGAGGAGGCTGCAGGAATGCGCCGGGAGCCGCGCGGCCCGGGAGGGCGGGAGATGCCTCCGCCAGCCCCATCGCCCCGCGGCGGTCGAAGGTCCCAGCGTCCCAGGCTCGGCCATCCCCAGTGCCCGGTGCCCCCCGCGCCTAGTCTGCGGCTGTGCCCGCGTCTCTCGTTTTCCGCCGGTTATCCCCACGGACGCGCGCTCTGCGGAGAGGCCCACGAGCTGCGGCGGCGGGGGAGGGGCGCTGGGGCGGTGTCAGAGAGGATTTGTTTTCACTTACTGCGACTGTAGCACTTATTTAAAAGGAAACATACAATAAAACTTGTCCTTGTTGATAAAATAGACTTTGAAAGTGTTGATGAATCCACCGCTACCTTACTGTGCGCTCCGCGTCGTGCTGGGTGTTGGGTATCACAATGAAAGGACCAGGGCTCAGAAGTTCCCAAAATTGAACTGGGAAGAAAAACGTGTAAGGAGCTCATGATTCCTTAGACTTAGAGCCGACTGCTCTTCCAGTATTCCACAGCGCGGGACTGTACGGTGCCTTTAAGGTTCTAGAAGGCAAATGGCTCCGAAAATCTCCAATGTTTTGGTGTTTCTGTGTTTTGCTTTTCCTCTGTCCTGCTCTGCTCTCCATTACAGTATCCTGACGGTGGCCAATTACTGGGTTATGGTCATTTCAGTATCCCCAGCATTTGACGCTCTCCTGGACTCCTGGTAAGGACTGGACATTGTTGATGGGTAATCCACAATGCAAGAGCAAATAATGTTTAAGTAAAGGCTGGAATAAAAGGACTACTTCTGAATTCCTAACCATCTTTTTTGGGTGCTTACTTGTTGGTTTTTGGTGGTTTTTCAAGAGTAGTGATGCATTGTTACTGAATCTGGAAAACCAGAGAGTGTGGCCCAGACTCACTCACATAGTAGATGTCGTTAAATCGGCCCTTCCTGCTGAAGTCTGGGCCTCTCTTTTTTAGTCTGGAATATGAGGAGATCTGGTGAGATATTCTCTTAAGACCCATGAAGTTGTAGCAGCCTATCATTGTATTTATCAACCTTTAAAACGATTGAGTTTATTCCTATCATTGTATGTGGTATATGTGACATTCATTTAACACTTTAGGGTCCCTGCTATGTGAATAGTATGTACTAGAAGTTTTAACTGAAAATTTTTTGGAATAAAAGTTAAGGGCCTGGCGCGGTGGCTCACGCCTGAATCCCAGCACTTTGTGGGGCCGAGGTAGGGAGTTCAAGACCAGCCTGACCAACATGGTGAAACCCCATCTCTACTAAAAAAAAAAAAAAAAAAATAGCTGGGTGTGGTGGTGCACGCCTGTAGTCCCAGCTACTCAGGAGACTGAGGCAGGAGAATCACTTGAAGGAGGGGGAGGTTGCAGTGAGCCGAAATGGTGCCACTTGCACTCCCACCTGGGCAACAGAGCAAGTTTCCATCTTTAAAAAAAAAAAAAAGAGAGAGAGGAGAGAGAGAGAAAGAGAGAGAGAGAAGGAAGGAAAGGAAAGGAGAGGAAAGGAAAACTAGAAAACAAAGCAAGTGGTAATAAACGGGTATCGGCCCGTTCATCTCGACATTTGATGTGCGTGAAGTCACCTGGCAATTGGTTGAAATGCAGAAAAGGCTTGGGATTCTGCATCTTTAACAAGCCCCCAAGTGATGTTGATATTGCTAACCCTGAACTGCACTTTGAGTAAAGAGCATCTTGACCACAGAGTACCAAGGAAAGCATAAAGTAAGAATATAATGAATATAAAGTGGTCTGGGTTCCTGAAAGCCTGCGGAGAAGATGAGCTTGAGTCACGTGATTGTGCATATGATTGGCTGAGGGAATGAAAAAGCAGAAGAAACAGCATAAATAACAATCGCATTGGAAGGAAAGAAGCAAAAAATAAGTTGAGGGGTGAAGAGGATTTTGTCTGACTTCAATTAAGAATATTTAGGGGAACTATAAAAAATGGGTTTGAAGATTTACTGGTGGGGTAAGACAACCTTGGAGGTTATGAATCCCAATTAATTTGGTGTAGTCGAGGAAACCAAGCAGCTGTACAATCTCGTTAGATAATGGCAGAGGTCAGAATGGAAGCCAAATCTGAGAAATTTTCATTACAAATACCTTACACATAGAGTCCTCAATATAAGAAAAACCGCTTGTTATTGTGCAAGGTGAAAATATGAGGCAAGAACAAAAACAAGCGAAGAGACCCATAGGAAATCATATCGTCCAAGCATGGAGTTTTGGGGAAGGTTTGGTCTAGGGAATTTGAGGAAAATATCAGGAGAAGAGATAAATCAGAAAAACTTTGTGTTTGCGTGAATTGTAATGGCTGCCACCAGCTGATTAAGTCATCCATTTATGTAAGAAAAGGAAAAAAATTCCCTCCATCCCTCCCATGGTCCAATGAAGCATTTTTCAACCCTGAACTCACATCGACGTTACTATTTTTTTTCAATAGGAATTCCTGAGCTCCACCCCACAGAAATTTAATCAGAATCTCTGGGAGTGGAGCCCTAGAATCAGTATTTTTAAAGGCTCCCTAGGTGATTATAATGTGCAGTCAGTGTTGAGAATCACTAATCTAATATACAGTCACCAGCTCATTTTGTAGGCTTCATTTCTGGCCCTGAACATTTCCCCCAGTGTTATCTATTATACTAGCACTAGATCATTTTTAATACTGGGTGTGTTTTGTGGTGGATTTTGATGGTTTATAGCACATTCTCTAAGCTCAATGTCTTCCACCCCTCATTAACTGTCATGGTTTAGTTGTGAACATATCCTGATATCTCTCATTGGCAAGAGAAGGAACAGTGATTTGGCACATGACTGGATGGAAATGATAAACCTGGTTTATGAACCTATATGGTACCATAGTGTGGCAGTGCAGTTATTTTACTTGATTTTTTATCTTTGCTTTAATAATCTACTTTAACAGCCTCTTTAGGATTAGAGCTGATAAATGAGCACTTAAAATAGCGACTTGGACCATTGGAACTTTTATTTTGCGTCTTCTCTAAAAAATAATCGTTACTTGCTGGAAAAAAAATCTGAATGTCAGAAGAGTGTGTAGTCTTTTCCTTCGTGACTAACTTAACTTTTAAAACTTCATTGATTCATTTATTCCTCTAAAATTAATTGAGTACCTCCTATGTGCCAGGTACTTTTTCAGATAGGAGGATGCCAAGAGAAGAAAAGCATTTTCTCTGTCTTCAAAGAGGAAAAGATGAGCATAGTGAATTTCGGGTACTGTATTTATTCAGCTTGGACGTTTAAAAGATACTTGGCTTTCCCATACTATCTTAAGATGCATTTAGTGAATATTTTAAAAAATTCATTTATTTACTTTTTTTAAAAAAAAACTAATGAATACATGTGGTTCAAAAACCAAAGAAAATATTTTCCCCCTCATTCTTGTCCTATGTCTGCCTAATTCCCTCTCACACCCTACAGAAGCCACTATTAATTTCTTACCTATCCTCCGAGAGTATTTTTGTGAATATACTAGCAAATAGAAACATGTTCTTATTTTCTCCCATTTTTACACTGTTCTATATCTTTTTTAAATTTAAAAATATCGGGAGGATATCTTTCTATATCGGCACATTCTGTTTTCATTTTGTTATTCTTCCATAATATTCCATTGTCTCAGAGTACCACAATGTATTTCTCGTACTGCTATTGATGGTAATTTAGGTTGTTTCCAATCTTTTGTTACGAAATTACATAAACAACCTTGTGCAACATCTGTGTCATTTTGCCCATGTGCACATGAAGTATTATCTGTAGGATAACTTTCTGCAAGCAAAACTATTGGGTCTTTTAAAGGGTGTATGTTAACATTCTTGATTGTTTCCTTAAGATAAATTCCTAGGCATGAAATTCCTGGGTTGACTAATATAAATACTTTAAAGGTTTTTGATATTCACTGAGAAATTGCCATCTAGAGAGTTCGTACTGGTTCATTTTCTCACTTGCATGGTATAAAAGTCCCCATTTCTCTGAAACCTTGCCGGTATTGGAAAATACCTTTTTAAAAATATATTTTTGTTTATTTCATGGGTAAAGAATTGCATATCTATTACCTTAGCATGCATTTCTATGAATAATATATAATTTGAACTTTACCATATGTTTATTAGCCATTGCATGATTAGAGGTTTGTCCATCTCTTTTGTCCAATCTTGAAGAATTTTTATTTTTATTACTGGTTTGTAATACATTAATACACTAATCATAATAATGATCTGTTTATTAAACCCTTGCCTTGTTCCAGGTACTGTGCTAAGCATTTTTAATTGCTCCTATGTATTGGAAATATTTTATCTGAGTTTGGTATGTGTCTTTAATACTTATTTAATTATTATTTCCTCTTAAAAACCTTTAGAAACTGTACAAATTATATGATAACATAAACCAATCTTTTGTGTGTTTTTGTTTGCTCGCTTAACACATAGGAAAGTCTGTCCACTCTAAAATCAGCTTAGCATTCACTTTATTTTTGCTAGTTCCTGTAGGACTTTAAGTAATTTTTAAAACAAATTAATTACTATTTACAAACGGTTAGCTAACCACAATGTAACTATCTTTTTCTGTTTCAAGAAAATATTTTTATACTTTTTAAAGCAATTATTTTATTATTATTATTATTAATTTTTTTTTTTTTTTTTTTTTTTTTTTTTTGAGACGGAGTCTCGCTCTGTCGCCCGGGCTGGAGTGCAGTGGCGTGATCTTGGCTCACTGCAACCTCTGCCTCCTGAGTTCAAGCAGTTCTCTGCCTCAGCTTCCCAAGTAGCTGGGATGATAGGTGCGCGCCACCACGCCCAGCTAATTTTTTTGTACTGTTAGTAGAGATGGGGTTTCGCCATCTTGGCCAGGCTGGTCTGGAACTCCTGACCTTGTGATCCGCCCACCTCGGCCTCCCAAAGTGCTGGGATTACAGGCGTGAGCCACTGTGCCTGGCCAAAGCAATTATTTTTACACATATGAATAACTAAAAACATAGGGGCAGGGGAAGGACTAAAACTCCCCACAATCCCATCAACCTGAGACAATCTCTGTTAACGTAGAGCAAATCTAGTTGATTTTCTATATGTAAATAAATATCTGTATACTATGTATTTTTTACAGAAATGGCATTATATTATGCATATGTTTTGTTGCTTGCTTTTCCCCCCATTAGCCGTGTAGAGTGAATAACATCTTTTTATGTCAGTAACTCCTCATCCTCATCATTATCCATTGTATGGAAGAGAACTCTTTAATGAGATCAATTTCCCCTTCAGAAGCAGGAAACCTGGGCAGAAGCATTCCACGAGAAACCTCACCTGCCTGTTTGATGTTCAGCCTTTCAGAATTTCCTAAGGCAGTTTAATCCCATTGTTCCTCAACTACTTTCCGTTTCTTTGAGGGCCTAACAGCCTACAAGAAAAGGGGAATGCAGTGGTCAATCATTAACCTGCTCCAACTAGAGAGACAACTCAGAAAGAAGACAAAAACTTTTTTTTTTTTTTTTGGCAAGACATGGTTCAAAATCTTATAGATTTTTTTCTGCAGATTGTTTTCAGTCCTCTTTCCCATACCCCATTGTCTTCGTCTCCCTAGCCTACATGCACACTTCCCTTCAGATAATTTTTAACCTATGCTATTTATTTCTTAATAAAAATAATGACATGACTTGCTCTCCCAGAGCTCTGACCTTAGGTTTGTTCTAGCTGCAACACTAGTATAGATCATTCTATTAATTATGAATGTATTCATGTGTACAGAGGCAATGGTAGACCAGTGGTAATGTTACCTTATTCTGGAGACTTACACTTATAAATAAATAATGAGATGCTTCTGTGAAATGCCTTTAGCAAAGGCAGGGGAAAGCATTACTTCTCAAAAGAGTGTACATTTGAAAGATTGAAAGCTGATACCAAAGGCTCTTCAATAAGATATAAACCACTTCTGTGGAAAAAAAGAAAATAACATGAAAGAAGTGAACTGGAAATTCTATACTGCTAAACTGGGGACCAAAATTTTCTAACTGGCAAAGTGTAAAATCTAAGTGAATAGATCAGAGAACCTAAAATAGATTCTTGAAGATGTAGGAAAACTGATCTCTGATCCTCCAAATATCTTTCTATGTTATACATTTAAAATAAATCACTACACTTAAAAATCTGAGATGTTATTTATAATAAAATGCTACGTTCCCATCATATCTTGTTAAAGACGATATTGAAAAGTTGTGTTAAATTAAGTAATTCCAATGAGAGATTGGTATGTATGATTGATTGTTATTATTAAACAGCTTTTTTTTCTATCTTAACTAACTTATATTAGGCTTGTGTATTAAGCTAGATATTCAAGTCTAGATACTAATTAAAACAACTTCATGAAGTATAGTGGCCACTGGCTTCCTGGGAACATTTTTTCTGCACTGAATATTCTAGTCCAGTTTCTAGCAAATAGAAAATGCTTTGTGGTTGCCACTAGAGGGCAAATAGCCTCCTGGACTTCTCTTTGACCAAAGAGTATCTTGGTCCAAGCAGCCAGTTTTAAGGTCTCATATAAACTACTCTTAAATCTTGCATTGCCAAGTCTTAGTCAGCTCACCGACTCAGCAAACTCAGAACATTTTAATTTGTTTTAAATCCAAATTTAAATATGTTCTTTTACCAGTCTATTTACATGGTCCAACTTGGGATGATAGATCTCTTGGCTGAGTGCACTAACTTCTGACCTTCTTATCCTACCCCATTCCGATGTAGATATTAAATCCCACTGCTCGGCCAGCAAGGTGACCTATCTTCATGGCATTCAACAGCATTCTTAGACCTTAGGTGACATCACAGGCACTTTCCAGTCTGATTTGTTTCTGCTTCACTTTCCAATCTCTCCTCTTGCCATTCCCTCATAGTCCCTTTATTCTGCACTAGTTCAGAGTTGCTGGCACTTTCTCAAATATATGATGTTATTTCATGCCCTTGTGTCTTTACTCAGGCTGTTACTTCTACCTGGGATGCTATCCCTGCCCATCACACACTGTTGAAGACTCAGTTCAGGTATTACCTATAAGAAGCCTTATACTCTTTGCTGCTCCCCTTTTTCTTTCCCCTCTTTCTTTCCAGAGCAATAGATTGAGTTTTCCCTCCTCTATGCTCCTCTAGCATCTTTTACACACCTCAATAATAATACTAACCCTGCTCTTGTGATTATGTCTAGCAGAATATGAATATTCAATCTCTGTTGAAATGGCAACTCAATTGTTTTGTCTTTTCTTTGCTGCATTAGGAATTGTTAGGAGTTCTAGAAGAGGGATGGAATGCAAACAACAGCTCCCTTCCTCTCCAGGAAGCAGAGACCTGAAGCCCACGATTGTGGTTTTTGAAGACTGAACTCTCTCTGCCCTTGAGTAAGGAGGTCCAAGATTTCTCCTTGATAAAAATGTGAACTGCAATGCTAGTTAAAAGAAGCAATTGGGGCTTTTGGTATAGAGAAATATTTGGAAGCTGAAGAGACTGAGGTGGACTGGAAAAGCTTCGGAGATGCCAAACATCACAACTCAGAGACAGGAAAGTGGTCTGAAAATATAGCAGCTGCCTGGAGGTGCCAGGTGAGTGGGCTTGGAGAAGAGCCACGATGAGGGCCACTGTTGGAGCCATACTGAACAAACTCTTCACAGTCCTCACCAGAGGACTTTGCAGTTAAGTGGCAATTCTGCCTCATGTAGACAAATAATCATGGGAGGTGATTCGCAGCCTGTGATCAAGTTCTTTTTTATCCAAGCAAAAATAAATGATTCCTGAAAATTATCAAAATAATCAAACACAAGCGGAGTCTGAGAAACTGTCACAGCCAAGAGGAATCTTAAGGTGACATGATGGCTAAAGGCAATGTGGTACTCTAAATGGGATCCTGGAAAAGAAAAAGAACATTGGGGGAAAACTACAGACATCTGAATAAAGTAGAGACTTTAGTTAATAATAATGTATCAGTATTGGTTTGTTAATTATAATTATATAGACCATACTAAGATAAGATGTTAATAATATAAGAAACTGGGTGTGAAGTATATCCAATGTATCTATCTTTCCAATGTCTTTGTAAATCTAAAATAGTTCTAAAATTAAAGTTTATTTAAAAAGAAAGAGAAGGAGAAAAACACAGACTAACCTGGGAGGATGTGTCCTCCAAAACCCTCAGGACCCTGGAAGCACCCAGGAGACCTGAACTCATGAATTCCTTGAGTATAGGAATTGATTCATGCTGACATTCTCCGTGGCCAGTGCACAGTATCTGGTTTTAACAAGTGGTCAATGCATAGTTACTGAATTAAAATCTATTTCCAGTAAGGAAGAAGTAAGAGGCAATAAACAGAATGGTTTTCTTCTGATGATAAATAAAACTGCAAACTATATTTTGTGTACTTAAGTTGATTGAAAATTTTGTAGGGATATCCAGTTCAACAGAGGTTACCCTGACATTTGGAAAAAAACTGTGCTCTTAGTGCAGAAAGTAACACAAGACTCCATTCTTTAAGAATACTGCTATTTTGCCAGATGCAGTGGCTCACGCCTGTAATCCCAGCACTTTGGGAGGCTGAGGTAGGCGGATCACAAGATCAGGAGTTCGAGACCATCCTGGCTAACACAGTGAAACCCTGTCTCTACTAAAAATACAAAAATTAGCCAGGAGTGGTGGCGTGTTCCTGTAATCCCAGCTACTCAGGAGGCTGAAGCAGGAGAATCGCTTGAAAACCCAGGAGGCAGAGGTCATAGTGAGCCGAGATCGTGCCACTGCATTCCAGCGTGGGCAACAGAGCAAGACTCCATCTCAAAAGAAAAAAAAAAAATACTGCTATTTTTTCTGATGTTAACCTGGAGGAAAACCATCCTTATAAAAACAAGGTATTAAAATCAGGGAAGAAAATACACAAATAGAGATCGGGTACATAGTGTCTAATAGTTTTAAATAACATACAAAGGTTCAATTTCTTTTTCATATAAAAGGAAGCAAACATATTAAAATTCTCCTAAGTACTAATATTTGAAGTACATAGACTGAAAATTGAAAGTGCTCATATATTTTTGATATGAAATTGTTCTCTGATGTTTTCTAGTCTAGTAAAAGTCCCTTGACAAATGATACTTATTAAGTAGTATTTTATCCATGAGGGGTTACTTCAAAATAATTTGTAACATAGACATTGTATTTTTAAAGTTTGTCTATTTCATGAAATTTGTCTTTCAGCATGGTAAGGTATAGTAGAAACTTTATACTTAAAAGAATAAGATGTTGCAGAAAGGAAAGATGGCCAAAAACTAAAGGTTCATATCATGAATTTGAAGCTTTTCTCTGTCCAGATTCCCCACATTGACTGAATCAGTTGGGGGTCTTGCTGACTCAGGACTCTGCTAAACTGTCTTGCTTATCACAAGGGTGACTATCAGCCACACAAATATAAAGCTGTAACCCTCTATCCTTGGCAAGGAAGTAAAAGCCAAATAGATTTTTAGCTTAACAGACAATGCAAACTGATAGTTTATTCTTGACATATTGAGAAAGATATAAAGGTCATTTTTTGGTATTGTCAGAATAAATCAGTGATATTTTAAAAGGTACTCACGTCCAGATGATGGTAATTAATTACATGAGATAGATGTGGTGTTTCTCTCTCAAAATAAATAAATGAGAGGAATGAAGAAAAGGAGAGAGAACAAAGAAATGCATATGATTGAAAGCAACAGGGTAGTAAGAGGTTTGGGTGGTATAGAGAGGAAAGAAAACTGGGTAGATACCCTCTCTTCCAGCCAATAACTCTATGGGTTGACTATCTAACCCACTTTAAGGCCTACTACGCTTGTAAGTTTGTGTGCCTGTTTTTTGTTTTTTTTTTTTTGAGACAGTCTTGCTCCCTCGCCCAGGTTGGAGCACAGTGACGCGATCTCGGCTCACTGCAAGCTCCGTCTCCCAGGTTCACTCCATTCTCCTGCCTCAGCCTCCCGAGGAGCTGGTACTACAGGCACCCACCAGCACGCCCAGCTAATATTTTGTATTTTTAGTAGACAGGGTTTCACTATGTTAGCCAGGATGGTCTTGATCTCCTGACCTCGTGATCCACCCGCCTCAGCCTCCCAAAGTGCTGAGATTACAGGCGTGAGCCACCACGCCGAGCATTTAGGTGCCTTTTCTAACTTTCTTAACAACTTCAACAAATCAATTATTATGCATATATTTTAGAAATGAGGATGCTGGGGGGTCAGATTGTTTGCTAACTGATCCAACGTCATCTACCTAGTAGGAAGCAAACCCAGGGGTCAAATGTAGATGTATTTGATTCCACAAACCTTGGACCTTCTATACTACCTCTCAGAATTTCCCTGTCAAAACTTTTCCGGAATGATTTTGGATTAAAACTTTTGATTGATTAATTCATAGTAATAAGAGCTACCAAAAATCCAATTCATTGTTGAAACTAATTGAACCTTATCAATTATTTCAACTTTTTTTGTATCTCTAATCTTTGCTATCTTTTGTGATCCTAAAAAAGGTTTTCTTATTTATGCCAAATTCTTTATGCTATACTATGATACAAACAAAGTCAATCTGCAATTTATTGCACTGGTCCCATTATGCTACATCCGCACCCAGAATGTTGAGAGCAATGCTCAAAAATCTGATTTTCTGTATATGTTATTTGTGACCCACATAGTGTTTTAATTCTGAACATTTCTTTTGGTTAATTATTATTGCTTCCAGTTCTCTGTGGAAAGTTTTCATCTTGACTCTTAATTTCTTAAAATATCAGTGGTGGCCATTTTAAAGTCTGTGTCTGAAAACACCGTTATCTGGATCCCACTGTAGGTCTGTTTCTTGTGCCTGTTTTTCTTTTGTTTTTTGGTTACATCCTGTCTCATTGTTTGCCTGGTTGTTTTCTTTTCTTTTCTTTTTTGAGATGGAGTCTCGCTCTGTCACCCAGGCTGGAGTGCAGTGTTGTGACCTCTGGCTCACTGCAACCTTCACCTCCTAGGTTCAAGTGATTCTCCTTCCTCGGCCTCCTGAGTAGCTGGGATTGCACGCATGTGCCACCACACCCGGCTAATTTTTGTATTTTTAGTGGAGACAGGGTTTCACCATGTTGGCCAGGCTGGTCTCAAACTCCTGACCTCAGGTGATCTGGCCACCTTGGCCTCCCAAAGTGCTAGGATTACAGGTGTGAACCACCATGCCCAGCCTGCTTGGTGGTTTGCTATTGCCAGATATTGCATGTGGAAATTGTCACAAGACTCTGTATGATGCTTTGTTCCTCTAGAGAAAATGTACACATGCTTTTGGCAAGCAGCTAGGTTAGACACACTAGTAACCTCAAAACACTTTAATCCAATCAGCAATGGGAGATCATCTGAGGTTGAGTTTCAGTTCCTGTTAGATTTGATATAGTTCCAGTTCAGTATTATCCTTAGGTGTAACTCCTCTGGATCCATATTGCCTGCCTGAGATATTTACCATGATCCCTACTCTTTAACAAACATTGACCTCCCATTTTTGGTCCCCCAGCCTCATGAGTCTGTCCAGCTCTCTGTTTCCAACCTTTAAGCCACAGCTTTCAAAATCAGCAATCACCTGTAAGAGAAAAGTGAACCCAAATACCAGGTTTACCTCCATGGACTTCCATCTTCTCCCTGCTCTTGACTGCATAATTCTTCACTGTTTTGTTGGCTCTGCAAAAATTTCAGATTTTATATTTTTTGATATTTAGTTCAACTTTTCTAGCCGAACTATGAGATATTTGGTTTCTCATAAAAAATTAGGAGCTATGGCAAACTGATCCCGTGTTCCTGCTTATCAGCCATCTGTTGAATCAGAGTAAGGGCTGCCACTTAGAGATGGGTCAGGCAGCATCCAGTTCACAAGCATAGTTTGTTTCAATATCTTAGTTTCTTATACCAGAAACTTGACAAGTGGCAGAATGCCTAAAACTAAGAGTAAGAAACATCTAAATACCTAAAACTAAGATGTAAGAAACATCTTAGTTTCTTACACTTTTATTCATTTCTGCCACTTGTCTGGTCCTTTTAGGCATTTGCTTTTGTGCCCTCTGGTTCAAGTGAATAATTACAAACTAGGCAACAGGGATCCAAATAAAATATCCCAAGCTCTTTTCCTACAATATTATTTAGCACCCAGCAGCAACACTGTTCTGTTTAGTCCCATTGATAAACCCTCAGAACTAAAGAAATGTTTGTTCATATACTTCTGTTCACTTACTTGAAGTAAATCTCAGAACATTGTTTTTATAGTATATTCTACACCAAATTTGCATTCATAGACATTTCTCTTTTTAACCCACAAACTTGGATTATCTACAACATAACCAAGCAATTCTAATCTATATCAATTATTTAAAGACTTACAATTTCTTCTTTAATTGAATCATATCCTTGTTTCCTCAACTGAACTAACTAAATGATTGTGCATGGAATTTTGCAAAAATTCATTTGAATAATAGTGATTGTTAAGTTTTCAGGGGAAAGGTTAACTTTCTCATACATTCTATCCATGACTGGCAAATATTCATTCCATTTCTCACTTATCAAATATTTGAGCAGACGCCCTGTACCAGGCAGGCAGTGTCCTGAATGCTGAAGATGCCAAGATGAATGAGACACAAGCCCTGACCTAGAGAAGCTCACTGTGGTAGGGCGACAGGCATGAAAAACAGTCCTTACAACACTCTGTGATAAATATTATAATTGATTTATGAACCAAGAGCTATGGAAGTAAATGAATAGGTATGTCTGAGGAGTGAAAAAAAAACAAGAAAAAGACTTCTCAGAGCAAGTGCCATTTCAACCCGCTCTTCAAAGGATAATCTAAGTGCTGGTCAAGTACAGAAGAGGAAGGGGGTTTTTGTGTCTCCTTACCTGAACCTTGCTACCCCAAAAGCTCCCGCTGGTAACCCTGCCTCACATTTTTAACTCTAGCAATCCATTATCTATACTGATCTTTTTTTTTTTTTTTTAATTATTTTATTTTGAGATGGAGTTTCGCTCTTGTTGCCCAGGCTGGAGTGCAGTGGTGCCATCTCGGCTCACTGCAACCTCCGCCTCCCAGGTTCAAACAATTCAACTGCCTCAGCCTCCCGAGTACCTGGGATTACAGGTGCCCACCACCGTGCCCAGCTAATTTTTTGTATTTTCAGTAGAGACGGGGTTTCACCATGCTGGCTAGGATGGTCTTCAACTCCTGACCTCAGGTGATCCACTCGCCTCGGCCTTCCAAAAGTACTGGGATTACAGGCGTGAGTCACCGCGCCTGGCCTATACTGATCTTTCCAAATTATAAATATTATCACTGATTTCCCATCCTTTTCACAATGAATTCAGACCCC